CACAGCAGTTATTTCGAGAGGGAGCACTCTTCCCCTGACTTCCCTTACTCCTCGCACAATGAGGGTTACAGGAGTCAGAGTAAGAAATCCTCCAGCCCAACTTTATTTTGACATTATTGTTGAAATAACTGCTTGTGTGTAGACGTGGACTATGTTATTTTGGAATCACGTTATTGATTCCCAAATAATGCTGCTGCGTAGATATAGCCCGAGGGTTCAATGTTGTATTCCTGATCATCTTGGCTAATAGCTATTGATGGATCTATCCCCCATGAATTAATCTAGTTCTTTTTTTAACCCAGTTATAGTTTTGACCTTCACAACATCCCTGACAATGAGTTCCACAGATTGACTGTGCACTGTGTGTAGTACTTCCTTTTGTTTGTTTTAAACCTGCTATCTATTCTGTCTATTCATTTGATTGGATGACCTCCGATTTTTGTGTTATGTGAAGGAGTAAACAACTCTTCCTTGTTCGTTTTCTCCGCTTTGTTCATGTTTTATAGACCTTTATCGTTATCATATACACCATTAATGAAATCTTTTCCAAGAGGAAAAGTTCCAGTCTTCATAGTCTCTCCTCATGTAGAAGCTAGTTCATACACCTGATCATTTCCTGTTGCCCCTCTCTGTACCTTTTTGAATTCCAATATATCTTTTTTTGTGATGGAGCAACCAGAATGCACACAATATTGAAGGTGCGAGTGTACCATGGATTTATATAGAACAGGGCTGGGCAATAAGCAGCCCAGAGGCCGGATGTGGTTTGCCAGAGTTAGCCCCTGAAGGGCTGCTGGATGTTTTACTTACTTGCACATCCACAGGTACGGCCACTCACAGCTCCTATTGGCCTTAGTTCGCCATTGGGAACTGCAAGAAGTGGCATGCGCCAGGCTACCATTTCCTGCATTGGCTGAGGACAGTGAATTGTGAGCAGCCGTACCTGCAGATACACAGGTAAATAAAGTGTCCAGTGGCCCACTAGGGGCTAACCCTGGCAAACTGTGCCCAGCCCGTGGGCCACTTCTTGCCTTCCCCTGATTTAAAGGCAATGTATTTTCTGTGAGAGAAAGAAAGGTTAAGTGTAATGGTGAATTAGTATTACCACTGTAAAGTAACATGCAACAACGGTGTTATTTCTATTTCCCTTCTTCCTGACAAGAGAAAACCAAAGTGAAAAGAAACTACAGTCCACTGAACAAATAAGAGTCAGGCAAGGATATGATATAATGACCTTCAGTTGAAGCAAGAACCTCAGGTTTTAATCCGAACCACAAACTTTATTACTTTGGGGATTTCAGCGTCTCTTAATCACAAAAGTAATAAGAATTTCCAATAAGTTTGTCTGCTGTGCTTAATCAATTGTTCCAGCTGTCAATCACTGGCAATATCAGAAAGTAGACATAACAGATGCCTGCCAGCCAACAAACCAGCTGTGACCCTTTGCTAACACTGAAGGGTCTAGACAGTGACCTTTAACCTCACCTCAGACATCCTAGATATATTACATATTGTATCACAGTAGCTTTATCGTTATTGCAGTACGTACTGGACAGATTTTATTTTGCCACTCATGTGTCCATGGCAAGCAGAAACCTATGGCAGCAAGTCTCAGAGCTCAGGTCTACAAACGCAGCCTCTCAATATGGTATTACAAATAGCAGTACAAGAGACCCATGCTTGGCACCATGGCAAATGCTAGGAACCACAGGGCCGGGAGCCGTGGGGATCTCACTGTAGCTGCTGGGAACCATGGAGAACTCACTGCAGGCGATGGGAGCCATGGGGAACGAGCCATGGGGGCCAAGAACTGTGGGGAACTCACCTCAGAGCTAAATATTAAAATGTGCCAGATTGCCTACCTTCTGACAGGGAACACCTAGTACTAATAGCAAAAAACAAAAACACGAACAACAACAAAAAACACAACTACCACACAATAGTAGTTCAAACCCAATCAGCCAAAACCTGGCAATAAAACCAAGTTTCAGAAGGTTTTTTTAATAACAAGTAGGAATTTTCCTGCTTATTCTAGACTACAACTTCCTGGTGACCATTAGGCCAGGAGATCTGGAGTATCATTAATACAGAAGGAGGCTTGGGTTTATTTTCAGCTTGTGAACTGCCTGCAAATCTCATGGGAGTGTTAAGACCTTCAGTAAAGATATGCCAGGCATACACACACATCAGAGAAAAGCAAAAAAGCAACAAAAAAACACTGTCGAAAGCTATGTTAGTAAATCTTAGTTCCTGGTACTAGTTTTTATTTGATTTCTTTGATATGGTCTAGTGATTTTGGCATAGGCCTGGGAATTGAAAGCCCTAAGTTTTCACTCCACCTCTGCCAATGACTTCTTCTGTGGCACTGGCAAAGTTACTTAAGCTCTCTGCCTAGTTCCCCTAACTGTACAATTGAGATAATGATACAGGAGACTCTTGCAATTCACAGAATCGCTATTCACGTATTTATGGATCTCTCCCGTCCTCAATCCCTGCCACTGCCCTGCCCTGTCTCCCCCATTGCACCCCATTCCCTGACCTTGGAGAATGTGGATTCTGGGGGCCTGTTGCAGGGTTACAATCCCCTGCACTCATCACAGTGGCCAGAAACCAAGGAGATTCAGAGGACTTGCTCTGCTTTCCCTCACCCTCAGTATCTGTGGATTTCACCATTCATGGTTGTATCAGGAACGCATGCACCGCGAATGATTGTGAAGATTAATATTTGTTTATAAAGGACTTTGACCAAGATCTTCAAACATAGTTAGGCACCTAACACCCTCAAATCAAATGGGAGTTAGGCATCTAAATACCTCTGAGAAGGAGTTGGGCCTTTAAACATAGAAACACAAAAAGGTGACCCGAAAGGAGGGAGATAGAAATGGGAAGGGAGAAACGTGGCCAAATACAGCCAGTTTGTGGAAGCGCGTCTGTTTTTCTATTCTGATGCCCAAATATCATGTTCACGAGGATGATTTGATTAATCGGCATACAAATGGAATGTTAAATACAGTAATTTAAAAAAAAATGCTAAATAGTCAATTAGCAAATTTGCAACTTAAATTGCAGCAGAACCACAAAACAAAAGGCTTATACTGTCTTTTCTAAGTGGAAAGTATTTTCAACCCTGCCTCAAAATATTTGTGGGCATGGGTAGGAGAACAGGCATTCTGGGGGCAGAAATAGATTGACAGAGCCCAGATTTGACAGTAGCAAATCCATGGTAATAAATTACATGATAGCTGGTAGTTTGCAAGATGGAAGGTGACCATTCTGCATTTTAAACATGTTCCTTTAAATTATAGGGTTCTTTCTCCATTAAGTGAAGAATTGGGGTTTTTTTAAAGCATAAGTTCTATAATGTTTTTAAATGCTATTTCTTTTTTTTTCTTGCTCATGAGCCAGGTTTGTTTTCACCTTCATCCGCATCATTTTTTGTTGCATGTCAATATAACACATAAGAACGCAGCTCTACACTGAAAAAGTCTGCATGAAAAGATATACCTCGTGAATAATCTTTAAGTGTTGGTAAATTGGTATAAGCCTTTTGTGATCAGACTTCAAAAATGACAGCATTATTTTTTTCCTATATAATTACCAAAAAATAGATACCCTAAAAAGGTGTAACTCAATCTTAGGTTCACATTCAAATTCAAAAGGCTATCTAGCTGAAACTATGCTGTAACTTGAGCTTCTTAAAGATCACCGGGAGCAATAACTTTCTCATGGTATTTATTCCTGGGAATTTCTTTTGAAGGGTTTTATTTATGTTGAATTAATATACAAAATACAGGCAGTCCCCGGGTTACGTACAAGATAGGGACTGTAGGTTTGTTCTTAAGTTGAATTTGTATGTAAGTCGGAACTGGTACATATTGTAGGGGAAACTCTAGCCAAACATTTCTCCAGAGCTCAGTTTTATTCTCCCACACCTCACTTCCCTCAGTCCTTTAATCTCAAACTGAGGTGTCTGCTGAGAAAAGCCGCTCCACCTCTCCCTGGTCTGCTGGGCGGGGGGAGGGGGACGCGCTAGCTTCGCATCTCCCTAGTCTGCTGGGGGGAAGTAGCTAGTGGGTTGCCTCACCCCGTTTGTAAGTAGGGATCCGATGTAAGTCGGATCCATGTAACCCGGGGACTGCCTGTATTGACTTTCATATTTATTGAAGAAACAATATTTATTTAAGAATAATACTTTTTACTTAGGCTTTATTTTGGAAGTGTTCCTTTTTCAGAATGTTTCTATGCAGATCTAGCTTTCTGGTAGATTGGAGGTAAGAAGAATGTTTGTTGTCATAGATGTTTACTAAGTGTCATGATATTCAAATGTTGTGCTTAACTTTGATCAGGCAGCAAAGCAGCTTCCGCCTGCATCAGGCCCAGGCTTGCTGTGGACAGAGGCTCACCGGGAGATGCAGAGAAGCTGCTGTTTGCGGGGAACTCAGACCCCCCACGGACAGGGGCTGCTACTGAGAAGCAGCCTCTGCCTGTGGTGGGCACAGAGGCTGCCTAATAGAGGCAGAAATGCAGGGGATGGGGGGCAGGCAGCACCACAGAGCCAGTGCTGGGAGGAACCAGCTTTTAAGTAGCTCCCCCCAGCACCGGCTCCTCCTTCCTCCCCTCCCCATATGCCTGTTTTTTTAAGTAGCTCCCCCCAGCACCGGCTCCTCCTTCCTCCCCTCCCTCCCCATATGCCTGTTGCATCTGATACAGAGGCAACAAGAGGGGAGGAATGCGAGTAGTCGACTATACGTTGAAATCCCTAGCAATGAGACTGTCTTAGTTCCTCCTCAATATCCATAAAATGTTTGATAGCATATGTCTTTTTTTAACCAGTGACATTTTTTTCAAACAGAAAGCAAGACTTGAACAAAAGTTGTCTTAGAAGAATTAGCATTAAATCATTTGTAGAAAGAGTGATCACTTATCTGGTAGTGCTGACTGATCATTGAAAGAATGTGGATTTACCATGACACTGAATATTGCTCTCCTTCTGATTTCAGCTACAATGTTCTCCAGTACTCACTCAAGTCGGAGTGGAACAGCTGCTGCAGCTGGGACACCATCACATCCTGCCAGTCACCTTTCTCCAGGGCATAACATACAGGGTAGTCCCTGTAACCCACAATCACAGTTACCCCCTCTTTCAGCTGTAGACTCAGGTACTGAGAGGTAAGACCATTTTTATGCACTTTAAAAGTGAGGAACAGTTGACTTGAACATTACTAAGTTTTAATTGCAGTTTAATGGTTACTCTGTTTAGAATGTTGTTAACAGCACTGCCGGATTACGATGATACTTTAACATATTTTTTTTCTAGTGAACAACATAGAGTAAGTGATCACTACCGTAAGTAAATCTCAGAGCATACTTATGCCTCAAGACACATAGTAGGTAGGGAAGCAAAGGTGAAATGACTTACCCAAGGTCACTCAGTAGATCAATGGCAGAACTATAATAGAACTGTAGGTCTCTTGACTCCTAGTCCAGTGCCCTATCCACAAGTCCATTATATGAAAGCTATAAGCTTATAAATAGACTTGGAAGGGTTAGATTTGTATTGGTTAATGCCAATAAACATCAGTTTCACTGTACATACACAAACCAACAAAATATATATTTGCTGCAATGATTATCCAAGGCTATGTCTATACAGCAGCATTATTTCAGAATAATTGATGTTGTTCCGAAATAACATAGTCCTTGTTTACACAGCAAGCAGTTATTTTGACATAATGTCAAAATAATGTTGAGCTGGAGGACTTCGTACTCTGACTCCTGTAACCCTCATTTTACGAGGAGTAAGGGAAGTCGGAGGAAGAGTGCTCTGACTCAGACTTCCTGCTGTGTAGACAGCACTGTAAGCTGAAATAAGCTATTTTGACTTAAACAACGCAATTGACATAGGTCAAATTGAGTAGCTTATTTTGGCTTTAGCCCTGCTGTGTAGATGTGCCAGAAATGTACAGAGAAGCAAATGGGACGGGTTCCTGGGGTCCCCTTGCACTGTGCTGCTGTGACATGCTCCTGATCTTACGTTTCCACAATCGTTCATGTAGGCGGGCTCATACCAGCTGCAGGCTGTCTGCATGAACCAACAGTAGAAAGAATACAGCCAAGGCAATACGCAGCTCCCTGGGCACACAACTCTTCTGGACTATAAACCCCAAATTATACCATCTTCTGCTGTACAGCATAAGCTCACGGAGTTCATTCCCACCCACACCAGTGTGGAGAGGAATATGCAACAGCCTTTGCCCCTTGAGCTACGATTTCTAGTCACTTCACTCCAAACTCACTGGTTTAGATTGAATATATTTATTAACTAGAAAAAATAGATTTTGAGTGATTATAAAGGATAGAAAACAGATCAAGGCAGATTACCTGGCAAATAAACACAATGCAAACTGAATTTAATATGCTAGATTGGATTTGAATAGCAGATTCCCACCCTAACTGTGATGATACAGGCAGACTTGTAGATTCTTAAGGCACAAGCTGCATTAGCTTTATATTTTGGGTTTCTCAGGTCTTCATACACAGGCTAGAAATTAGCCTGGATCCAGCAATTCCCCCAGTTCGGCCTTTGTTTGTCAGGTGTTTACAGCAGTCTTCTTGGGTGGGCAGTGAAGAACTGCAGATGAGGTCACTCCTTGCCTTATATAGCTTTAGCATATGGCAGGAAACCTTTATTTTGAAACATAGATGCCAGACCAGTTTGTGGAAAAATACAGACATCCCAAGATGGAGTTCAGAATCATTTGGCCTGGTCACGTGTGTCTTTGCAGTGTTATAGCAGTCATTCATGTCAAGCTGGCCAAAATGCTCACTGGAAGGTTAAGCTATTCCATAGTCCATGGTCTTTGCTAATGGACCATCAGCCGTCTTTGGCTTCTTCTTTGTTGTACCTGAAAGGTTGGCTGTCAGTATTTTCCAAAGTAAATCCATTTGAAATACAGATCCCTAGTCAATATTCCTTACTTCAGATACAAAAATTATACATGCATGTAAATAGGATAATCATAGTCACAAATCATAACTTTCCAATGATACCTCCCATGGCTTATTTTATACAAAATGCATCATAATTATGCCATAACCATATTACGATAATATTACTATGATTAATATTGAGTTCAATGTCGGAACAAAGAAAGCAAAATGCGACTCTGTGAGAACTTACTAAAGTCTGATTTAGGGATATTTATTTTGTGTGTTTCAACTCAATGTCGGAACAAAGAAAGCAAAATGCGACTCTGAGAGAACTTACTAGAGTCTGATTTAGGGATATTTGTTTTGTGTGTTTCAATATTTGATGCTGACAGTTTGTGATTTAAGCATTTTAAATCTTTAACTTTTGAATCTCAATGTCAACAATTATTGTCTGACCCCAAAATGCTTAAATTCTGCAATTTTTACAACTATGACAATTTAAATTGACAATCTAAAAGAATGCTTTAAAATAAACATTGATATCAATTGAAATGATAAAAATATTATTTTGCCAAGCCTGTCAATAAAGATAGTGTCTCTCCAAATTAAAATCCCACTGAAGGAGAAAAGAGAAGATGGAAGAAAGATGGAGAAGCTTTCTAAATAAGAATGAAAATGTTAATTATTGAGTAAGTGACTTGAGAGCCATGACTATTAGAGCCTCACTAGCATTTCAATTCTTGTTCTACTTGCCAAAATATTGAAGTGAGCAGGTGGTCATTTTGATTATCGTTGACTGGCTTGGCTTTTGAGAAGTGTAACACACATGGGTTGAATTCCTGTTGCATGTGTTTGTATTTGTTTTGAGCATGTTTAGTAGGAAAAAGTTTAATTATGAAAATTCGCAGTATTTGTTTTGAGCATGTTTAGTAGGAAAAAGTTTATTAATTATGAAAATTCGCATTCTGAGCTCGCAAGATGCTGAGTGCCTCCAGTGATCTTCTAAGTGTCTTGGTGTCCTCAAGCACAGTAAATTTTTAGAATTCAGTTCCCTTTGTACCTCTCAGAAGCTGATCAGCACCTTGCAGGATGGGAACTGTGACTTGCATGTTGTTTGACATTTACAGCTTTGAAAACTCTGGTGTAAACTAAAGCTGCTTGCTCAACTGAAATAAGCTCATATTTTTACAGGAGGCTGGTATCTTCGAGATTCTTGAGACTAGTGGGCAATGACTGGACTTGAATTCTAAGTCAATAGCAAAAGACTATGATTCATACTCAGAAGTTGTTCACTGCTGGTTAGAGACAAGGTCTCCTATCTTTATGGTTTCTATGACTTTAGATATTTCAGGGATATAAAAACAAGTTCTCTGAGAGGATTCTGTTTTCCTCTGTAAATATTACCTAATGATTTTGAAACAGATATTGCATAATATTAATGGTTTCCATTTAGTATATTAAATCAGAAGTCTGATTATACTTCATGAGACCCAGGTAAATAGTTTTTTTAGGAAAAACATATTTCTGATATAAATTCAGTGGTTATTACACTTCCATTTTTATATAAGTATTCTATTCTTACTAAAGATAGGATTTTAAATCCACTCCTTTGTTGATCCTGTATAATTTTCAACACACTAAAATACACACAGTTATATTTCACTAGTGTATCACAAGGCGTTTAGTTTTCTTGAGGAATAGAAATGTCAGTAATTTAAGAAAACATAAAAAGTCCAATTATGAACCTCAAAAGAATGTTCCTTGTTTTCTTTCTGTTTCTGTTAAATAGACCCAATTCCCCTGTGATTAAAGCAGTATTTTGAAGACAGAAGAACTGGATGACTTGTGGGATTGGGCTATGGTGCCTTTCATGTCTAGGTTGCCACTTTGAGATCAGTGAGCTCAATAGTGGCTAAAAGGGATCAAAACCTTTTGCTCTAGGGTGGCAGTATCAATCCACTTCTAGTAGACCGGTATCTCATCACAAACAGAGTCATAGTTGCTGTTAATTGTTGTTATCTGTAGTAGGAGAAAAGCCAAGAAGGGAATGATATATAGATTCCTCTTCCATGTAGAAGTGGTCCCTTTTGGTCAGAATTGAAGGATATTACCAAATGCTGGTGGGAAGTTTCCATTGCTTTTTGTGATGACTGGTGGGGTCAGTCTAGTCTTTATTACAAGCATTAATATCACTGTTTAAAAAATAAGTCTAGATCCTCTTATTAGCACATTTCTGAGAAGATTACAATTGGGAAACCACTGCAGAAGCACTTTATTTGTGACATGTATAAATAGTTCCTGCCTCATTGGGGCCATGATACTGTTTGGGGCCTCAGCACATCATGATGCTACAGATAATAATCTGCTATATCATTTTTTTCTGACCGTGCATGTTTGCATGCATCTCTCTCTGTCAGGGTGTCTGTCTGTCTCTTTAAGAACTCCTCCTAAATGGTAAGAGCAAAGACCGCCAAATTCAGTACGCCATTTCCTTTTATCATAACTTCAACCAAAGTAAGGGTTTGCTGTGCCAGGAAAACAGGATGTGACCAAAATGGGATTGCTTCTCATACATCCACACAGTAAAGATACAGAATCACCAGACAGGGGAAAGAGACTGGCTGGTATACCCTCCCGCTCCCCACTCCTGCCCCCATCCAGGACTGCTCTAGCCCCGAGCCAGGCACCCTTTGTGGGGTAAAGCTCCCCCTCCAATTCATACAGGAACATTGCTGGCTGTTCCACTTCATCAGGGAGCAAGGGGAAAGCTCACAGTTTGCTGCATTCCCCACTTTGGCTGTGGAGTGTAGGGGGCAGGTGAACCTGGACCTGCCCTAGCCTGGGAGACATGCACCGTTCCCTGGCTGTGCCTGCTGGAGCTGCAGGAGGCATGGAGAGTTGCTTCTTACCTGACCCCAAACTGCTGCGGCGAGAGAGGGCTGAGCTAGTGAACCCCTTATCTCCAGCCCCACCTCAGAGCAATTATTTAAATAAAGAAAAACAAAAATTATTTGAGTTAAGGACCCAAGCAACACCGGGTAAACCTTCAAGTTAATAATAATGACGTTCTGGTCTGATACATACCTTCCTTTTATTTTCTTTCACTGACCATATACACATTTCCATAAACTGTTTCATTATTACCCTCATCTACATTTGGGGCTACTTTGGATTTAAGAACGAGTAAGTGTCAATAACTACATTAATGTAATATTAAGAGTGAGAATTTAAATGCAGGA